AATACAAGGAGGATTTGATATAAATGAGACTGCACGAGCTTGTATCTAGTGCGGCATTTCCGCAATCGAGAAACACGTCTGAAACCCAGAACCACTGTCAACCGACAACTAAAGCTACAATTTTCCATACAAATGTCAAGACAGTTCTATCGTAAGGATTATAGACTTGGAGAACTACGAAAGCCATCATCCAAAAGACACAGACGTTTATTAACAGTGGTCCACGAAAAAAATACTCCTGATTCCTCAGCCAGAGATCACCAGCAACAACTTACTTTGTGAGAGAACAGACCAGCCTTCATTAGAAGAGGATATATGACAAAAAACCACTCGGAAATGACTAAACTACGTCACAAGGCAAGCTCCAATTCAAAAACCTTAAGTCAAAACAAAACAAGGTAGACACCAAATTGATGAGCAGCACTTGAAGACTGCGACCAACACCTCATGAAGAGTGATATACTTGCATAATAAGCTAATCAGTTTCCAACTCAAATCAATTCACAATCAATGTAAACCTATCAATGAATCAACACAAAAAAAAAGTTATTCACTGTGCGGGTTTTTTAAAATTACATCATGCTTATTACCAGTTGCGTAATCCAAAGTCGGTTGTTGTTGTTGTTGTTGGTGTGCTGGATAGAGTTGTTGACGTTGCTGTTGCTGTTGTTGTTGTAACAACTGCTGATGTTGTTGAAGTAGTTGTTGATATAAACTTTGCAACTGTGCCAAATTAGATCGATTCACTGAGATTTGTCCACTGGGCAATTGCGCTTGTTGTTGATACGGTTGTTGCGTGTCCATTAACATATTCGTCGTATAATCGGATGTTTGTTGAAAATGTTTCGATAGCAAATTATGATTGCTTTGTGGAACTTTTACTCGTGGACTAAGCAAAGCTTGTTGATATAATGGCATTTGATGATAGGTAGTAGTAGTGGTAGTAGTATTAGTAGCAGCGTGTGAAAGATCTTGCAGATTATTGATCCATTGATTGGAACTTTGTGGACTACGACCACGTATGATTTGATGATTAAGTGGATCCGATGTTTGTCGCATTAAATTCAATCGATTCGGTTTGGATGAATCTGTGGAAATAGATTATAATGGATATGTATGTATACACATATATATATTAAAATTCATCGTGTGGATCTAAAATTGTACATTGAATATTATGGTACAATCACAATTGATTTTGTTTAAATCATCAAGTTCACATTATGACTCAGATGAATAAAACTCTGAAGTTATTTATAGATTTCTATTCAATCGATTAGATAACTAGCGTTTTTTCCATTGGTTCCTATGTTTCGACAAGTTATCTAACTAGTCTCAATCTACTAACATTTTAAATTAGTCTGAATAGGAAAATATCAAACAATTTATCAGTCAATCAGTCAGTCACACCCAACGTAGGACCTGGTACGTACGTACATCAGTTCTAGTTTCCATACCACATTAGCATACAGAGAGATGGAAGTGTTAATTTTAGCCCCATAGTAGTACAGGGAATAACAGGATAAGCGGTAATCAAAAAGACTAAGGAGTGAAGATATGATTCCAGAAGTTCATCCCGGTAAGATAAATTTCAGAGGAGAAAATGGTCATGAGCAAATCAGAAGATTAGAATTTGAGTAAAGATAAAGAATCAGTCAGTCAGTCAGTCAGTCAGTCAGTCAGTCAGTCAGTCAGTTACAACGTAGAACTTCGTACGTATGTACATCAGTCCAAGTTGCCGTACCACGTAAGCACAGAAACGCAACTGTCAGTTCGAATCCCATAGTGGTAGAGATAATAGAGGAATTAGCGGTGATGGAGACGATAACAGTTTGAAGATATTATTCAAGAAATATAATAAGGTGAAATAAATTTAAAAGAAAGATAAAGGTCGTGGGAAATTCAGAAAATTACAATTTGAGAGAATACAAACAGCGGATGCACCTGCGCCATTGCAAACGATTCTGAGCCATGTCATTCAAGGTCTCTAACCATTGGTGACTTTCGTCTCACAGACCCCAACCACGTAGCCTACATCTAACAACATGACTCAGTTCACTTGTCAGTGACTTCATAGATTTGTGCCATGTTTTGTTTTGGCCGCCCCTAGCTTTCTTCCAAGCTACTGATACACCACATAACATAGCTCGTCGCGGCAGTCGGTGGTTAGACACAGTTAGATTGACTAAGATCTATTATCGAAGGCATGCGAATAAGAAATTTATTCTTTGTTTTTTGTCACCCCCTCACTTAATCAAGTTTAAACAAAACACAATTGAAAATAGATCATCTCCATCTCAAAGGTAAATAAGAAGAAAAACATGGAGAGAATAATCAAATTGGGAGAAAAAAATTCGTAGAACAAGAGATAGAAAGAAAGAGAATCTGAAGTGACAAAAAACATCCTCATTATCCTCTCATCATCATGATTACAGGATAAAAATGAAGCAACCAATTACATCAGTCAGTATGAGAAGAAAATTTTTAAAATTTTTTTCCAAAACAGAAAGAGATTTTTCATGTAGATCAAATGAAAAGATGAACAAAAAAGTATGTAAATAACCAAACAAATTGAATTCCATTTTTGTTTTATTTTATTTTATTTAAAGTAAATACCTCATTCTCTAGGTGTTCAATGTTCTTTTTTTCGTTTCGATAAGCCGATTGACAACAGAATAAAAAAAACACAATCATTGAACATTGAATGAATAAATCCGATTTCAATTTTCAATTCCTTTTTGTTTTGTTTTGTTTTGTTTTTTCTTTGGTTTTTCAATGTTTACTTGGCTATTTCAATATTAAGTATAAGTAAATAATGTCCGTAGGGAAGTTGTCAGTTTTTATTCATGATAAGACAATTTAGTTTGTAAGAGATTAATTTTATTTCTAACTTGTTTAACAGTGTCATTGATAACCAGGAAATATAGCATCGGCCGTTGACCAGCATTTTCCAACCCTACTCTATCGTAGGGCGCTCCTTTCTAGTTCTGTCCGGCTGTTGTTCATTCTTCTCATGTCTGTCTTCATTTCTAAGCGTAATGTGTTCATTGGTCTTCCACTTTTCCTTTGGCCTTGAGGATTCCAAGTGGAGGTTTGTCTTTTGATGCAGTTGGGTGTTTTTCTCAATGTGTGTTCCATCCAGTTAAAGTGCTGCTTACTGATTTCTTCGTCTTCTGGAAATCGGTTTGTTCGCTCCCATGGTAAGTTGTTGCTGATGACGTCTGGCCAATGGATCTGAAGTATGTTTTGTAAACAACTGTTGATAAACACTTTTATCTTTCGGATGATGGCTTTGGTAGTTCTCCAAGTTTTCGCTCCATACAGTAGAACTGTCTTGACATTTATATTGAAAATTCTGATTTTGGTGTTGATTGATATTTGTTTGGAGTTCCAGATATTTTTCAATTGTAGAAATACAGCCCTTGCTTTGCCGATCCGCACCCGCACATCTGCCTCAGATCCGCCGTCTCATCAACGATGCTGCACAGATAAGTACAGCTTTCTACATCTTCCAAAGTATCACTATCGAGTATGATTTGGTTGGTGCATGTTGTGTTGCATCGGAGAATTTCACTTTTCCCTTAATGTATGTTGAAACCTATTGCTGCTGAGGTTACTGCTACGCTGGTCATCTTCTGAATTTGTTGTTCGGTGTACGATAGAAGAGCCAGATCATCTGCGATGTCAGATCGTCCAGCTGCATCCTCGTTGTCCATCGTATCCCATGCTTCCCTAGGAGAGGATAGCTGCCTCGTTAAATGTCAAGATTGTGGCAGTTAAAGTAAAGGAACATCTGTATATAATTGGATACCAGCTCAGTAATTCAGAAGTTAAGCATTCAGTCACAAGATTGAAGATTCCAGGGTTCGATCTCCTCGATGCGACCGTGGATGTCCAATACTAGATAGAAGCGCTTCTTGATAGTCAAAAATAGTCTAGCTACGATTAGTTTGTAATTAAAACTCTGAAAATTCTATAATCTCCTCAATTTTCACTACACTATTCAAATATAACTTTGACTGTAAGCAATGATCATGGAAAATTTGTAGTCTGTAAATGATAAGTCAGTCAGTCAGCTACAACGTAGAACTTCGTACGAATGTGCATCAGATCAAGTTACCATACCACATTAGCACAGAGATGCAGTTGTCAATTCAAATCCCATATTATTAGAGATGGCACAAATATTAAGGGTAATTGAAAATATTAAGGTTTGAAGAAATTATTCAAGAAGTATAATCCGATGAAATAAATTTCAAGAGAGAAAAAATATCATGAAGAATTCAGAAGATTAGAATTTGAGCGAACACAAAGACTGGATGCACTTGCGCCATCGCAAATGATTTTGAGCCATGTCGTTCTAGATCTCTAACCATCGGTTGCTATAGTCTGTTGTACCGCAACCATGCAGCCTACATCTGAAACAGTTCAGTTGTCTGTCAGTGGCTCCATAGATTTGTGCCATGTTTTGGTCTGGTCGCCCCTAGCTTTCTTCCAACCTACCCCTACATCACAAAACATCATTCGTCTGAGCAGTCAGTGGTCGGGCATACGTAACACCTGTCCCAGCACAAGAGACCGAACAATTTACAAGCAAGACTATCAATGATATGATTTTTAATTAAAAAACAGTTACTAGTCCTAAACCCAAAACACGTAGGACTACCGAACATGGGAGTTAACAACGACAATTGCCAGGAGAAAGTAGTAAACACGGTAAGAGCTTTGAAAATATATGCATCTTTGAGAAAGTGGTTATACATAGTACCATATCGTCCCATAAATGTGTACATAAAGCTAACTGAGTTTCATTGAACCGCACTACATAGAACCAAATCGATCATATCTTCTGCATCAATAAAAGTTCAGAAAAACCATGAGAGACGTCATATCTGCTGACCGGACAATATCAATAATAACCTATTGTCCGAGAGAATAAACCAGATTTCATTAGAAGAGAAAATAGGTGGTAAATTACAGAAGGTGGATAGGACAAACAGCGGTAAAACCGTCAAATCATATTGCAAGACAATCATCATATTTGAATCGTCGAAAGAATGAATATCATTTGGGAAACGTTCGGAGGAAGTATAAGGGATATGGTTGGAAATGGCTGGTCGACTACACGAGAGATTACAGATGTAATTAAATAGGTAATTTGTCATTGATTTGTGTTTTTGACTGAGTTTATACTACCACTAATGAATTAGGTACTTGAATGTTAGATTACCAATAGAAACCTTAAAGCATTGAACAGCCATGCTGACACAGTATGAGACTCATCAAGAGTGCGAATCGACGACCTCGCGCAAGGGAATCAAATCTAGGACCTTCGATCTCATGCACAAACGCCTAAATTATAGATCACTGAGTTGGCATCCACGATATTGTGCGACTTCATCCTCTTCGGTGTCAGCAACTATAGTCAAGATTTAAGCGTTCATTTATTCCCTGAGGTCGATTCCCTCACGTGGTATCGTGAATGGGCTCTACTAAGGAGCCCCATACTAGAAAGAAAAGACTAATTCTAATGGTAGTGAGTGAATCATACTACAATCAGATAATTTAAGTTAGACATGAAAAATGTCTTTGTTTTTTTCAATATTTCTTGATGAAAAAAAGAACAAGATAAGTAAAATTTGTTTTGTAGCTACTTTTATTTATCGAAAAATATAGACCTGTATTTCTGACCGTATCAAATGTTCGAATCGCCATTAAAAAACAATGAACTTACATTGAAAACAAAACATTCTCATAAATAATCAATGCGCTATCATAGAACAGGTATCAGTTTAAGGAATCTATAAGCAATCAATATGATGGAACTATTGCACTAAATTGTAATCAAAACACTTAAATAATGTCCACATATGACTGCATACAGCATAAAACTCAAACAGCCATTGGATTCCATGGAAAGCATTTTTGTCGACGTGATTTTTGTGTATAATTCTTATCCGATAGCAAGTAAAAAGGCGCTGGAGTTGGATAGAACGAACATTGAGGAAAGCATTCAACTGTATAATGAGGTAAGCTCTCAAGGCCGTCCTCAAGACCAAAGATCGAAAAACACAATAAATCGAGAATT